CCTAAATGATCTAAATTGAGTTGGTTGGGGGGGGGGGAGGGTAAAAAATACCAAATAAGTTTTATGGCGCACATGCACATTCTGCAGCATCCTCTATACGCTTTACAACCATTACTACACCAGCAGACCCTAAAACACTCTGGAACATTCTCGGCTTCCCTGAAAGCATGTGCTATGAAGCAAGATATGACATTTAATATAATGCCTAACCGTGATTTAAGAATACAAGCTCTGAGCACTTTACAAATATTCAAAACAGCAACACATAAACAGTACTTTGTGTTCTGACCGAAAATCTCTCCCTATATATAATATAATCTCATTAATCTAAAAACAGAAATGACTTTACCTGACCTTTGAATGTTTTAAAGTTAAGATAAGATTACATAATATACTTTGTTGATTTGATGCTTCTTGTGAAGAAGTTAGCAATGACCTGTCTTCAGTTTGTACAACATAAAGTACATGGAGATGTCTCTCTGTTTCTGGCTCTCCTTGTCTTTCTTTATCTCTTTCTGTCTGACTCTCTCTGAGTCTATCTCTGATTCTCTCTTTCTGTCTCTGTCTCTCTCTGTGCATGTCTGTCTGTCTCTCTCTCTCTCTCTGCATGTCTGTCTGTCTGTCTCTCTCTCTCTCTCTCTGTCTTGTCTCTTTATTCCCCCCCCCCCCCCCCACACACACACTAACACTGACCCTGACCCTCACGTATACCCCCACACACAGGTCCCCAGGAGATGTGCCCACACTTGGTCCAGCACAACGCCCTGCGCAATAACATGGGGAACCCCCGCCTACCGCCCTACCCCCACCCCACCCAGGTCCGGCCGCTCGTCCAGATCAAACAGCATCTGTCCATCCCCGGCCTGGGGTCAACCGCCACCTCTCCCGCCAGTGGCCCACGACCCACCAGCCCCACACAGTCGGGCTCGGCCCACGATAATATGTTCAACGTGTGTGTGGCGTTTGCAGCCGAGAGGTGGGCTGGGAGGAGGAATGGTGAGTGTGTTTGTGTTTTTTTTTTTCTCTTCTCTTCCTGATCACATCACGTTTCAGGTATGGGATGCCCTCCATTACCTCTCACAGCTTTGGGAGTTTGTCGGTAGTGATTGTCTGCTGTACTGACACGCCATCTGTTAGAAATACCTTTTGGCTTTGGGTGTCTATAGACGGTGAAAGATCTTTCTTGTCAGTTTGTCAGTGTTTGAGCGCTTAATCAGCTGCTTGCACTGTATGCTTCCCAAGTAAGCTGAGAATGTTTTTGAGTATTCTATGGTCTGCTGGGGTAATGATATAGTGTAAAGTGCATAGAGTTTGCCGTAGAGTGGGATAATTCGCTCTTCAACTGCTATTCATTATTATTATTATGTTTGCCACATGTATAAAGCCTCCATCTCTGCCCTGTAGTTTGTACAATACTGCCAGGTTGGGGCTGCCTCTGCTTGGCGTCTTCCATTTGGGAACTATATGTACACTCCTGCTGTCTTTTCACGGCAGATCTATGTGTATAGATCCTTTTCCATGCTTCGAGGGGGTATCTTTCTTCAAGCATGGATAGGGTACGGGTTTTCTTGCTCAGGTTGCAGTGGTTGTCTTTTGTAGTGAACACAGTAACAGAAGTGTGAATAGTTGTATGTTTGTGTATGTGAATGTTTTGTGCTATGACAGTGTGTCATATTGTGAAAGTGTGTCATGTTATGAGTGTGTTATATTGTGAGAGTGTGTTTGGGACAATGTATGTTTTTTGCTCTCATTGCTATACTGTCTGGTTGCAGTCTTGACAGATGACAAGACCATTTCATTAATTATTTATCAATGTATTTGCATGCAGAAAATTGAGCGTGGGCGGTTAGTGGGTGCTCTGGTGTGGTTTGCTCCCTCTTTCCTATAAAACATCTATTGTCCTTATCTCTCCTCCTTCTTTTTTGTGTTTGTTACTCTCTTGTAACACATAATCTAATCTTCGGCACTTATATGACCTTATTGTGTTGCGAGTGCCATAAAACTTTTACTAAAAAGAAAATTGAGCCAACTTGTTCTCTGACAATCCCTTCAGAAAACTCCAAGAAGCGGGCGGTGGACTCCATCTTTGTCCTGCACCAAAGCGGTCTGTTGACCGAACACTCCCTGGATCCCAAGGCCCGGGCTGCGACAGGACCGGACCGTGCGTCTGACGACTCACCCATCGACCTGGAGATGAAAGGACTGCAGCAGTGGAACTTGCTCAGGTGGGCTTTTTCAGACTTTTTTTTGGGTGGTATTGTGTGGTATATACAGAATGGGTTATGTCAAAGTAACATGTGATGTATGATATTTCAAAGTAATGCAGATCAAGTCGAATAATTGAACTAGGGAGACAGACACTCCAGGGAATCTGTAGCACACAGAATGTAGACAGCAGCCGGAGAATAATTAACTCATTCGCTACGTATTATTTTCGGCTTGTAGACGAATTTCTTTCGGGAGGGCGAAATGAGATGACGACTAGTGCGCAGTTCACAGG